TCCCTTTAGGAGTTGAATGACCCTTTCACAGGGGTAGCATATCAGATATCCTGCATATCAGATGTTTACATTATGGTTCATAATAGTAGCAGAATTACAGTTATGAAACAGCACAGAAATAATCTTATGGGGGCCACCACAACATGAGGAACTGTGTTACAGGCCACAGCATTAGGAAGGTTGAGAACCACTGAGCCAGCCTGACCTCAAATTCAACTCAACTCTATTCTGGAGGACTTTGAATTTCTGATCCTCTGCCTCCACCTCCCCAAACTTGCTGCATGTTTTAAACTGACATCTATCTCTGCTTTCAGGACATTGAATTTCACCACCACTGTCTTACTATCCTGACCACAATAGATAGGAGATCTGGATAGGCTCAGGTCAGACCACTGAACAGATGATGCTCTGCTGTCAGCATCCACTGTGGCCAAGGAGAACCCTGGGCATTGTGAGCAAGACAAGCAAACAGGACACTCCCAAGCACCTGCTGTTTGAACTGTGGATGCCGGTCAGATCTCTCTCTCTCTCTCTCTCTCTCTCTCTCTCTCTCTCTCTCGCTCTCTCTCTCTCTCTCTCTCTCTCTCGCTCTCTCTCTCTCTCTCTCTCTCTCCTCTCTCTCCCCCTCTCTCTCTCTCTCTCTCTCTCTCTCCTCTCCTGTGTGTGTGTGTGCGTCTATGTCTCTATCCTCTCTCTTTCTCCTTCTTTTCTCTCTCCCTCTGTCTTCTCTCTCTTCTTTCTTTCCCCTTTCTTTCTCCTTCTCTCTTCAACATAACAATAACTCAGTTATCTCTACTTATTTTCAATTTTTGTTTATTTTTTAGTTTATGTTTTAGTCTTTTAAAGAGGCTTTATTTGGAGCTTCAAGCAGCTTTATTTATTCTATTTATCATAGGTCAGTTGTACAATTGGCAGGTATATATTTAAAGAATAAAACATGAAACTTTGAAATATGTATATACTTTGAAAGCAGCATCTAAGTCATAATAACAAACATTTCTGTATTGCTCAACCCCCTCCACAGAAATCACTCTTAAAGCTTTCTGGTGCATCTTTGAAACTTTTTATTACTGTTATTTTTATCATATTTTTTCATGCACCATGGGCATGTAGTGCCCACAGAGGATGGAAGAGAGCATCAGATCCTCTAGAACTGAAGTTATAGACAATTGGGCCATGTGGGTGCTGGGAATTGAATCCAGATCTTCTGGGAAAGCAATCATCTCTTCAGCCCCTGTGAGTCTTTTAAAATTTTACTCTCTGGTCTCTTCACTTTCTCATCTCTAGTCAGCATGTGACCTGCATTTTGCCATTTTAGATTCTTGAGAATTTATTTCAATTGCATGTGAATGAAGTCAAGTAGTATGGACATTTTGTTTTTACTTTCTGTTAGCAAAATTCCTTTAAGATTCTACTCCTAGTGTTGCATTACCAAGAAATGATTCCCTTTTATTGACAGACATCACTGTTTGGAAATGATAATTTGCTTATTTTCCCTGTGTCGATGGACCTTTAGGTTATTTCTAGCTTTGCCATCTTTTGGAGCAAAACTGTTGTCAACATCCATGTACAAGGCTTTGTAGGAACACATACTTTTCATTTTCTTTGGATAAATTCCTCAGAGTAGGATAGCCAGGCCATGGAACAGAAAAGTGTTTGCATTCTGTAAAAGTTTAAACTAGCTCACAATTTAGCCAAGAGTAAATAGAGCTAAGAGTAATGAGAGCTGTACTTGTTAATATTCTAACTCAGTCTTATGAATATCAGACATGCTACTAGAGTCACAATAGCACTTCATTGTGGGCCAATCTTTGTGTTTTATTTTCATTAAGTTCAATATATTTGCTAATTGACATTTAATACCTCATTTGATGCATGGGGTATTTAGAAATGCATTACTTCATGTCTAAGTATTTGGAGGTATCACAGAAAACTTTCTCCATTTGAGTTCTTTTTTCATCTTTCAATGTTTGCTGGGGATTGAATCTATACACTCTACCACAGAGCAAAATGCTGGCCCTTCTACTACTGATTTATAATTTAACTCTATATGGTCAAAGAATATATTTTATCTTATTTGAAATCTTGAAGTTGTTGAAGTTGTTGAGATTTGTTTTTTGTTGTTGTTGTTTTTTGGTAGAATGTAGACTATTCTGATTACTATGCAGTTCCCTTAAAAAGGAATGTCTTCAGGAAACACCACTCTGGATGCAGACAGAGAAATCAATATCCTCTAATCAGGAAACTCTTTTCCTCCTGGGTAATTTTCATACTGCTGAAAGGTGTTGTGCAGGTAACTGGGAGAGAAAAGACATCAATGGTCTTACCTAACACTGGATCTTAAATGCTACAAATATGACCTACCAGGAAAGATGTACCCACTGCTGTACTAGTGGCAAGACTGTATGGGTAATCAACCACGAAAGGTCTGCTCTACTAGAGGAAATTCATGCCTTGTGATGTAAACATGGTCAAAAACCCTGGCTATAGGTTATAGGTGAAAGGCAAAAGTTCTTTAATGATGCTTTGCTAAGAAATCATGTTGTCAAACTGCTTTCTAAATATCTGTGGTTTTGCCCATATATTTGTGCAGTTCTCAACTTTGGGGAGAGATGACTCTTCTTGTAATGGGTAGTGGTTAATGCAGAGATCCATAAGTGTTCAAAGTGCTAAGAATAAGTAACTGTGTATGTTCAGCCACAGCTGGGACATCTCTATAAACATATACCTGCTAGTGCTCAAGGAATGTGGTAGAAGAGGCAGCAGAAAGAACTTAAAAGTCGGAGGGCAGGGCAGAGTACTCTGAAAGGATGTCCTCTGGATATAACATGACTGTTACAAACATGAACTCATAGTATCTGTGGATACTTACATAAGACCTGCACAAGACCAAGCTGGTTACAAATCTCAGCATGGAGATCCCACCCCTACTTAAAGAGAAGTTGACAGTCAATGGTAACTACATGAGAGTCACTTTTCTTTGAGGGGTGACCACTAGCAGATTGTCCATGTCCTAGTTAACCTACAGACATGTATATATAGACAGCACTGACTGGGCTAAGTGGGTTATTAAAAAACTAGGACAAGCTAGAAGGGAAATACATTGGGGAAGAGGACCAAGTGGAATTCGAGGGAAGGAGTGGGGGGAAAGGTATGACTAAGATGCATTGTATACAACTATGAATTTTCAAAGAATAAAAAGAGAATATCTTCAAGAAGCTACTAAGATGCCTCAGTCAGTAAAGTGATTCCAATGCAACGATGAGGATTCAAGTTTGATCACTAGCACCAACATAAAAAGTCAGGCACCATGATGTACACTTGTACTCCCAGCACTGGGAGTGCAGAGATGGCATTTAAATGGATAAATCAAGCCTAATTGCAGTAATAGGCATAACTGTAAAATCTAAGTGAGAAAAGTGATTTGCTTAAGAAGACACAATTACAGAAACTTCAAGATAAGAATGTATTTTTAAAAACATTTATGTCTCTTTCTCCTGCATGCCTTTTTTTCCTCCTTAGCGTCAAAGGTGTTCTGTTACTATACTAGACACTCGCCATCAATTGTTTGATTTGACTGTTTCCTATTACACAGTGTAGTGTCATGACTAAGAGTCCATTTTTGGATTAGAGACTGACTGCTTGATTTTGTTTTCTGTACAGCCACCTAATAGGTATGACCCTGAACAAGTGATTGGTCTCTCAATCTCATATAATCTCATATAATATAATAATCTCATATAATCATGATAATTACTTTGCGACTAACATGAGGTTTTAAATGTAACCATGCAACTTTGAGAAATCAGAATGGTATCTGGTGCAGAAGTACATGGTTGCTGTGAGAGTGAGCTGTACATCCAGGGTTTACACCTAGAAACTTGACTCTGTAGACTGTACTTTTAATCCCTGTGTGGTACTTTATGTCTGCTCGACAGACTGCTTTTCATGTTATATTTTCCCTTCTGCAACCACATCTGGATCAGCCCCCCTGATCCTTAAGTATTCTGGCTTCATCTCTATGCACATCTTTATTGCACCAAACTATCTAAATCATAGCTCTCTATGTACTAAAAAATTACAACAAGGCTTGTTCTTGTCAATATTAAGTTAAATCAAATGTGATGAGTGCTTTGAAAACAGTACATTTTCATCCCAGTACTCAGGAGGCATAGGCAGGAAGAGCTTTGTGAGTCTGAGGCCAACATGGTCTACATAGTGAGTTCCAGGACAGCCAGGGCTGGATGATAGAGAGCTCTTGTCTTAAAAGAAAGGAAGGAAGAAGGGAGGGAGAGAGGGAGGGTCTTGGAAGAAATACTTCTGGGTGATTAGATGTAAATCAACTTTCTTCCTCAGTGTTTTATTTTTATCTAAAAACTTTTAAACTTTTATTCTTAAAAAATTTCCAACCAAGCTAGGCAGTGGTGGCACACTCCCTTAATCCCAGCACTCAGGAGACAGAGGTAGGCAAATGAATCTCTGTGAGTTAGAGGCCAGCCTGGTCTACAAAGCTACACAGAGAAATCCTGTCTTGAAAAATAAACAAACAAAATTTCCAGCCATATCTTCTGTAAGAAGAGAATATGATAGACAGAGACTACTTCTGGTTTGTTCCAAGTCAGCCATTGTTTCATCTCCATAATTTTACAGTGTTCCATGTTCAAAAAAATGGAGAAAAGGTTAAAAGCACACATATTAATTTAATTTTTCTTATTTGTAATAAAAATTGACATAAAACAATGAATCCTGGATCTGACAGAGTAAAGCTTACAGAGCTTGTTGACTTCATAGATACATTTGAAGTCAACATTTCTCTTTTTAGCATACTCCTAAAACTAAGTAACATAGATATTCAAGAAGATTCTTCTAGATTAAAATAGCAATGTTAACATGAAGTGTAAATGCCTCATCTATCCAAGCTGCAAAGCATCTCAATATGCCTGCTCAGAATCTGCAAAGTCAGAGTTTGTTGTTTGAGCTAGATCACTCATAAGCATTACCTTTTCCGTAGCAGTAATTTATATCCTTCTAGTGATGTTCCCTGGGTGGTCTCAACTCTGACTGGATGGCCAATAGCCAGGCATCCCTGAGTTATCGCTCTGTTCAAGATCATCCCAGTCTTCCAATGAAAGGGAAGGGAGAAAAAGGTCTAAATAAGTTAACAGAACCAGAAAATTCAACAATGTGTCACAAGTAGTGAGGTCATTATGCCTGGATAAGCCTGGATATTAACAGTGGCTCAAAGTGAAATACTACCCACAACTTAGCAGTCAGTGAGCCCTGCTCAGAAGCAGTGAGCCTCTGTCCTACAAGGGTGGCATTTTACAGCTGAGCGCAAAATAAAACAGACCTTGATATCTTCATTTGTCCTTTTTTTCTGTGCATATTTCACAGTGTAGTGGCTTGAGGTCCATCACGTGTCACTTCCTAGAGTTATAACTACAGAGCTTACTTGAAATCTGTATGCACAGACAAACACGTGCAGTGAACTGAGAAGATTGAAACAAATCCTCAACCTTCATATCAATTTAAAGTTTTACTCTGGGTCTTAATAGCACCGGTTAAAACTGTACAGTGGTAGTGGTCCATGACCTTTTTGTCTTAAATGCGAGCATTCTCTGTCAAGGAAATTAATTGAGAATATTGTGTAAGTGGCTATTCAATAATAATTTTCCTACTTAGCTCATTTTAAATGAGTCGCAGCCACAGAGAGATTTATACATACCCACTAGGGATTTATGGCATGCAAAATTCTGTATTATATCACAGAAGGGATTTATTGTTAAAGGGGGGAAAGGAAAGTTACCATGTACATTGATTTTTTTTGTTGTTGCCTTTATAGCATATAACTTTTGCTTTTCAGGTTTTTTGTTGTGTAAAAGGGAAATACATGGTGACCTAGGAAACATATCTAAACAGTTTGGATGGTGGTAAGTACTTGCAAACCTTGCATGTGTAAATATGTCTGTATGTACAGAAAAGGGAAAGGCTTACAGAGAGGAAGAAAGACATTGGTGAGCATTCTTTATATCAGATGTTATGCTCCAACACCAGATATCTAATTTCTACTGTGCTGTAACTTTGCAAGGAAGGCATGACTAACTCCATTTTATAGTTAAAGAAACAATGTCTCATGGTACCCAAATAACTTCCTCTGGGCCACACAAGGAATGCCAGGAAAACTGCACTCTTTGAGAGAACATTTCAATTACTTTAAGGAAATGTTAGAAAGGACAAGTTGTATAGTATAGTGAGATTCTAGAAATAAATACCATGAAATTACAGAAGATGAGATTTAGAAAAGGGCCTTCCATAGTGTCTAATCCATTTCATTTAGGATAAGAAGTTCTAACTTCTTATGTAGATGCCATGTATGATTAGTCTGCAGTCACCCAACTATTCAGTAGTAGCATAGGAGTAAGACACTCCTAGCATGTTCACAGACCGATCAGATATAAAGCATGGTCTTGTAATACAGAAAAAAAAAAGCTAAATTAAGTCAGACAGACCAACAATCCTCCCCTTGTTGGTACTAACCTTGGTTTCTTAAACTGTGTAAATGCTATGATTTTGATGTGAAATGTCCTTCAAAGGGCTCATGTGAAAGGCCTGATCCCCACTTGTGGATCCAATCACTGAAGGGTGACTGGATCAAAAGATTCGGATCTAATCCATGGAGAAATCCATTTGTGTATCAATAGTTTAATGTGACATTGGGAGACACAACCTGGGTGGAGAAGCCATTCCCCAAGAATTGCCTTTGAAGGGTGTGTGTTGTGCCTGGTCCCTTCTTGTCTCTCTGTTTCATGACTGCAATGGGGTCAGCAGTTGTCTTTCTTCCATGCCCTTTCACCACAATACTCTGCCTTGTCTTAGGCTATATGGGGCCAGCTGACCACAGACTGGAACCTGTAAAGCCAGGAACTAACATAAAATCCTCCCCCACTTGCTGCTTTCTTGGGTCTATTCTAACACTAACAGGAATAAAAAGCTAATAGTGAAAACAAGGTAAAAGGAACTAATGGTTAATAGAGTCGTAAGGTTGGATATAGACATTAGGTACATCTCATCCAACACAGTTCTACTTTACTATCTGAAATGAGCATTATCTCTTAGTACCTTAGAATCTTAATTTCTCTGAGCTTGCTTTTTGTCTATCAGAGAATCATAGAAAAACCAAGGGTAATTCAGAGTTTTATGTGAGAAATGGTTTCAATGTCCTTCCCCACCACAACAGATAAGTGTCACCAAATTTAACTGGATGGCTTCACATGACCTGAAATGTTTAGACAGCAGTAGAGCATCCTGATGTGAATGATGGCAAAGGAAAATAAAAGGACAAACACAAGATGTGCCATCTTTTCCCAGATAAAGTTTGTATTTGCAAGTTGTATTTTAAAAGTAAGAGGGTAGGAGGCAATTATATTTCCTCATATATGTCAGAACTAATTATAAATTAATAAAGAAAAATTAAGATTTTCTACACAGACGTATAAACTATTCACCTTTTATACTGAAAATCTTTTAAAATTGTCCTTGATAACACTGTATAAAAAGTCATAATAAGGTGTTGATCTATTAGGCCCAATGATGATGAGCTGGTAAAGATCAATAAGGAAGACTAAGATACCTGTCTCAGAAAAAGATCAGTCTGTAGGGTTCATATAAGCTCCGTGTTTGGTTTAAGGATACTCTGAGATGTGAACTAATCAGAATGTCTAAAAGTAAACTGAATGCCTGTTGGCAATCAACATAAATCTTTTGCATTAGACAATACCAAGAGTAGAAAATATGTTCTTAATAGTCCACAATTTAACATGCTTCCACTTGTATGCTTATATGCAAGAGGGCCCAGGTTCTGGAGCAGCACAACATGGCAGCAAAGAAGGAGCAATCATTTGGGTAGAGCAGATGCTCCTAGGTACCTTGGTGATCAGCCACATGCTGGCTGCAGGCCAGGACACCGTCTGATTCCCGCTGTTCACTTCCCTCCTTGAGAAGCTGTGCTTTCTGATGGAAACAGAGGCATAAAGAACAATATCGGGATCCACCTGCATCACAAGAAGAAGGATACCCTTTTAATTCCTGATCTAAAAAAATGAACATTCTTCAGCACACTTACTCAAAATGAATGAATCATGTCAGAACACGGGGTTTTCTGATTGAGAGGCTGTCTTCAGAAACCAGTACTCAGTCAGTACTGATGTGCAAAGACCCTGTCTGTGTAGCATGAGATATTATAAAACATTTCTCATACCTTAAAAAAATTGTACAGTAAAGATTCTCTCATCAGAGAGTGGGAGAAAGAAAGATTTTTTCATGTTAAACACTATGCAAACAATCAAATTGTGCTAGAGGCATCTAAAATAATGGGCTTATTTTTGTTACAAAAATAAAAATGAGGTATCTTGAAACAGTAACATGCTACAGCTCTTAAAGAGTGGAATGGATCTGATATGGACAATAAAGAGCAAAATGTTATCAAAAGTAAAGCAGTTCTAGTCTGTGTATCTTAGAATTTCTCAGTAGAGTTAAAAGGTAAATTTGGCCAAACTGCAGAAAGCATTGGGTGAAGGCTACAGTTAGGTAACCCCAGGGGAATGGTGAGCGCTTTCACCAGGGTCTAGATCCAGCACGTTTTAGTGAGGTTGATATGCCATGTGGGGACATCATGTATTGTAGAATGGAGACATCACAGGCAGGGGAATGATCGGGTGTCTACATACTCCCCTGAGAATAAAACATATTCACTGAGACTTCTGAGCTTGAAGAGTCACTGGAGAAGGAGTGGACACTGATGGGGGAAGTATGCCATGAATATCTTCTAGGGTCATTATCAGATCCCACAGCCTGTGTTGTTTATCACATTAAATATGTAGAAGACATGTGCACCTTCAAGTATGACTTGCTTACAATTGACTATTAAACTCCTATCCACTCATGTCACCTATAGGAACTCTGTTACTTCACACTTAATAAAATTTACTTCCTAAGTTATAGGAACATTTTCCTCAACTAATCACAGTTTTTAAATAGCAACATGTGTAAGATCACAGAGCTATGTTAACATATACTTTTATTATGATAAATGATGCTGCTTTAACAACCATTTAAATTACTTTCAGATGCTAAACATCTACTTTACAAGTTTAACAACAGTATGTATCTACTGAGTAACAGATGATTTTTAAACATACAAATTAAACAATAATTCATATTTTAAAATATGTTCAAGCAATCACAGAAAGGTGTGTTATGATAATTATTCTGTAAGAAAGGAAAGATCTCTCTCAAGAGGGGAAATGTCATACAACTTCTTTGTGTGAAAATGAAAGTTTTAACTGCCTTTTGTGGCTGCTTCTCAGTACATAAGGAAATTGGACTTAACAGTGCATTGACTGTGTATTCCCCTAGATAGCCAGGAATGGCTAGATTCTAGAAGGGAATCCCTATGGATTTTGAACAATGATAAACTATATTCTACTAAGCCATCACCACAGGGTTCCTACTCAACCTCTTCACTCCAAGTTGCCATCATCCTCTAAACTCCCCTCTGTATCTGGGCAGGAGATTGTTTTGACTGGAATTAGACAGAGGACCCATGCTGCCAACTGCTTCTTTGTACAGCACCTGCTGCCAGCGCCTAAATTCTTGTTATCTCCACAACATGGTTTAATCTTTTAACAGTTGGCTTATTGGTGAAGAGCAAGGGGGTCCTTTGTTTCTGCCTTGGGCTGGCACCCAGTATTAACACCATGCTGTTCTTCAAGAGATATTTTGCTGGACAGTTCCCAAGTGATTCTGCACAGGGCAGACGCAGCCAGACCCACACCAGTGCAGCTTCATTTATGTTATTAAAAAAAAAAATGAGAAGGAAGGAATCCTGCCAACTCTTAACTGACAACCACCACTAAGAATCTTCTCCTGTGACTCTGTCTTCTTCCTCTGTTGTTCTCTTCTTGCTACTCTTTTTCTTTTTCCATTTGAAATTATTTCAGGAAATTAATTTTCATTGTTTTCACTTATACCCAAAGAGTCAAGCTCATTAGGAAGCACAGGGGAAAACAAACAAACAAAAAACATTGTAGAACAGAGCCCCATGAAAATGATTCCTCTGAGTCTGGTTATGAAGACAATGAAGCCATCTACATATATAATGTGATAAATAATAGCACAAGTTGTGTGAGCTAATAATGAACCCAGGGGATATCGATGGCATGTTTCCCCCATCAATGCTGTCCAGAAAATCTTCATAATGAGTTCAAAGTATATGCAAAAACTTGATCTCTTTGTAAAATCTATTTTTATCTCATTAGTGCTTCAGTGTGTCTTTGTGTGCACATGCACATGCTTGCATGATGTGTAAGGATGAGCGAACACACGTGCTGTGGCACACATGTGGAGGACGGGGCAACTTTGTGGAGTTGGTTCTCTCCTTGCACCTTTATGATTGTTCTACATCTTGCAGGCAACAGGAAGTTGGCTGACTGACTGGGCAGTATCCTGAGTATATGAAACCTCAAAGCCCACCCCTACAGTGACACACTTCCTCCAACAAGGCCATACCCACTCCAACAAAGCCACACCTCCTGATAGTGCTGCTTCCTATGAGATTATGGGATTATGAGGGCCAATTGTGTTCAAACTACCACATGGTCTCAAGATGAGGAAGAAACTAGGGAATTATTGTAAAGACCCATGTTGCAAGCAACTGTTTTGTCCAGCCTCCTTGTGACCAAAGATTAATTACAAAATAACCATATATTTAACAGTTATGGATGCTTTCTGCAATACGATCTGAATTTACAAATTAACTTGTAACAAATATGCCATGGCTCTAAAGCTAAAACCTGGTCATTTTCTTGATATTTGTGTAAAGAATGCTGTAATGAAAGCCCTCTGATACCTGTAAAGTCAACTCCTGAAAGACTAGGAACAAAACAAGTTTCTTTTCCATTTTGGCAAAATTTAAGATGTGTCAAAGCTGGAATCCATGCTTTTCTTCTTTATTCTCCCATAACCAACCATTTCTGTAGCTATTCTTTTCACATTTTTTATATTAACTACCATGAAGTTTAAATTTCACCCATTGTATGGAAACATATAATTTTATTGCTCTAAAACCGAATCAATCTACAAATGCTGCCAACATGAGCAACAATAGGGGAGTCTTTGAAAGATGTATGTGCCAAATTGTTACCTCTTAGTGGCTTCCAAATCTGGTTTTGAAATGGATAAAAGAGCAACAGGCTGTAATTGTTGAGGGTTACAGTGGTCACCCACATTGCAAATAGGGATTGTACGTTCCAGATACTTCTCTGTAGGAAAGGTTTTACTTGTCAATAAGAGATTTAAAAGAACAGTCAGGGGTTGGGCAATGACATCTCTCTCTGCAGCCAATTTTAAAACCTATGCATTGGGAATATTGGCTTTTCTTTCCCTTCCCTCAACCCCTGTTGTAATCCTCTTAGAGTCTTCTTTACCTCAGTGAGCACCAAGTTTCCACAATAAAATGTCCTGTAGATGCCTGTCACCTCTGCCTGTACCCACCTTTAAAGCATTCCTTTTCAAGTTATTAAATTACTATTCCCAATGCACTGGTCACCTCTCTGTAAATAATTGGAGACACTTTACTGAAAGGATTTTAAAGGTTTCACAGCAAAGAGGGAGCACCCCCCCACTGCCACCCCAAAAGCTTCTCCTTATTGAACAATTTATCAAGGTCTTGCTTTTTCACTCTATTATTTTGGTTGAATTTTATTCAAAAATCAATGTATTATTTCAAAAATAGTGAGGGAACATTTATTTGAGATGAATATTTTCTCATTTCACTGGGTCATGAGGTCCAATTAATAAATAATGAAAACCAACAGGCTATTTTGGTTCCTTCTAAGTTTAGAGTATATACCACCTTAAAAAGTAGCACCTGGACAGAGTGAGAGAAAAGCCTCCTTCTGCCTCCTTTTCCAGGTATCTGTTTGATATCCTTTTTTTCCATTTAAGTTTGAACTGGTCTCTGTTGAGTGAGTTAACTCATCAGCTTGATTCCATTTACCTAACTCTGTGCATGCAGATATTGAAGCAGACACAAGCAAGTTCAAGTCCTTTCCTTGGGGTATCTTCAGTCCAGAGGAGAGGATAAGACAGGAGCCTCCTGAGTCATCTTCCTAACACTCAAGCAGATGTGCTCTCTAATCAAACACTCCCAATACCTTCTGGAAAAGAATGGACAACCAAATCCTTACTGTTGAACTAAAACCCTTCTGATCCCAACATTTTCAATAGAACCTACCGTGTACCCTTCCTGCTCCCAGGTTACCCTGAAGAAAGGTATAGATCCCAGTTGCTTTTTGGCCAGTTAGCCTAGACAAAATATTACACTGTGAGTCCAGTGAGAGACCTTTTCTTAAGAATAAGATGAACAGCAATAGAGGGAGATGTCAAGGTTAACCTTTGGCCTCCACACATGCACACATACATGGTAAGCATAGCTATATACATACATGCACACAATGCCTACAACACACTCAAATAATAATATTAATAACAAAATAGTAGCTAGTTCAATGCTATACTATTAGAAATTTTCTGGGGTTATCAATACCAGAAGGATCATGCATAGTTTTATGAAGGGGTGAGGTAAAGATAGACTTCCTGCAGCTGTCACATGTCAGATGTGACAGGATTTCAAGAGCATCATTGAATGCCAACTATTTGCCAGATTCCATGTTAGGACATGGAAAAAGAGAGGCAGAGACAACCAGAGAGTGGAGAAAGAAAGAGAGAAAGAGAGAAAGAGAGAAAGAGAGAAAGAGAGAAAGAGAGAAAGAGAGAAAGAGAGAAAGAGAGAAAGAGAGAAAGAGAGAAAGAGAGAAAGAGAGAAAGAAAGAAAGAAAGAAAGAAAGAAAGAAAGAAAGAAAGAAAGAGAAAGAAAGAGAGAGACAGGGTGAGAGGGAAGGAGGGAGGGAAAGGAGGGAAGAAGGGAAGAAGGAAGGAAGGAAGGAAGGAAGGAAGGAAGGAAGGAAGGAAGTTGATTTCCAGGCAGTGGGATCTACATGGGTGCAACAGGAAGTGGAGTGTTTTCACAAAGTGGCAGATAAACAATGTGACTCCACCAAAGCACAGAGGAGATATAGAGTTGGGGCTACATGAGACACCATCTCAAAAAATCTTAACACACACACACACACACACACACACACACACACACACACAATGTATCTGTATGTTTGTATACATGTATGTCACTCTGGATTCTGTATTGGCATTTATACATATTATCTTTATCCCAAGAATTCTCAACCCAGAAAACCAGAAGCCAAGGAAGGCAAATGCTTATACCAAATTACAAACTCCAAAAAGAGTTTGCAAAAGAAAAAAAGTAGTTCAGAGAACACAAAATAAAGGTTCTGCTTGGAGGATCTGGGATGACTACATGGAAAAACGCAAAGTAGAGTAGAGTTCATCCTTATGAGCCAGGTGCTGAGCGTGAGAGATACATGGCTCAGTCAAGGCACAATGCAAGCTGCTGTGCAAACATATCAGAAGCTTTCTATGGTACACAGCTCACTAATTCTAAATGTCGGATGCAGAGAGGAACAAGATGATGCGAGATTGGAGATGTCAACTGAGAGTGGGAGTGGCAGGAACTTTGTTAGGTAATGGTCAGACATATGAAGGAATTTTAAACAGGAAAACAAAACCAACAAAAGTCTAATGAGGAACACTAAGAGGAAGAGACCTGAGTGGATCTCTGGAGGTGTCATACAGGAATGCAAACATGGTACAGATCGACTTCATAGACCTGGATCAGACTTCGGGGAGTCTAATAGCAGGTGGTTTATTCCCAGTGTATTTAAGACCGGTACAATTTGGAAAAAAAGTTTCCTGGTGTAATACAAACCCCAATGAACAAAGAAGCATATTTACATTGAAAATCAACTTAGGGCACATTCATTTCTTCCAAGAAGATGGGTTCTAGAGATAGTCTACCTGTACTAGCTTAAGGGCCTAAGGAAGGGTCTAGTCTCATCTTGGTCATACAGATAGAAGTGAGGTCATTTGGGCTATTAGCCACCTCTGGTCCTCATTGTGGGAAGTTGGGGGAGCCTTTAGATATCATCGTCATTTAGATTACTAGCTATCTTAGGTCTTGATATGGCCTGGACCAACAGATAATGTAGGTCACCAGGCTGTTTGTCAGCTTTCCAGACAGAAGAATGGGTTTTTCATTTTTCCATTGAAAAGATTATCCTGTGTCCTTAACATTCCTGGTTTCTCTGGAGATATGTGGACACAAAGATGTTCAAGCTATGCTCTCAACACAGACCTATATCAGGTAGGTCAGATGGATTTACAACAATGGACGCCAGCTACTATACTCTTTTCTAAATCAGATCAATTTCTGCTGGAATTAGAATTTTTTCCCATTTCTATAGTTACACTATTTCAAGTAACATGCTTCTAGAAAAAAACAAACAAACAAATCAAGATTTTAAGCATGCATTTTGACATAATAAAGAATCAATGGGTGACATGGAAAAAATAAATTAAGCTAGTTTAGGTAATGTATTCTTTGCATTGTGTCTTAGAAATAAGGGGTGTGGATTGTGGGGGCAGAAGTCCTGCATTCTTCAGACATGTTGCTCAAGACATCTTTTCCTTCTGCTCAAAAACAAATGTTTGTGGCTGACATGAATAACAATCTTACACGGATCTTTTCAGCTAAGAAATACGAGATAATTGTTCCTCTTCAGATATACTTTAAATGCCCTCAATAGGTCAATTGATAAACATTATGGAGGATGAATTTCTAAGTAGAAATTGATAAACAGATGAGGGTCTGATTGCTATGAATTGGATCTAGGCCAATATAGCAAGCAGAGCAGATCCTAACATACAAGGAAGTAGCATGAATTTTTTATCAACTTATTTTGATAAAATATCAAGAGCTCAGACTTGTCCACAAGTAGCTGGCCCAAGGTAATAGACATCTTGAAAGCTCTCTTAAATAATACTAACTTGTTAATTATTCCTGATTGAAAAGTTATGACAAGCAATAGGATTTATACGACACATTTCAAGCATATTTCCAAGTGTGAACACCACACTGTGTAAGGTTAGAAATACTTAATTAATAAGAAGTAGACAGAAGTGCCGGCCTAAACATTTACAAAAATAATTTCTATATGTAAGACAGATCTTTAAAAAAATATCCACTGTGTAACTGTAATACAATAGCTGAATGTCTAATATGCAAAACAGACCCTGTCACAGCACATGTGCTCTAACCTTGTTCTGTAGGAAATGACTCTCCCAGGTCACCTTTCCAAGGAAATCAGGGATCTGTTGACTGCTGCACTCAGTGTTCACTGGAAATCCCTCACAAACTTCCCAACTAACAACAATAAGATATTTTTACAATTAGTTTTGGTAAAATAAAAACATTAAACTATAATATTCATTATTAGCATTGTATTTTATGATTAATATCCACTAGTAGTGAAAAGGTGTGACACAAAAGACTTGTAAAATATGTTAACATTTGTAAGTGAGAAAAACTTTAAATTTTTATCTTGTAATTATGATATCAGGGCATTCAATCTTTAATTAATTCTTAATAGAAAGTAAAAATAATTGTAGAGAATTGTTTGTAGTGGAGACCATCACCTTTACCAAATACAAATATACTAAGCTATAAATAACAAAGGCTTTTTGTAACTTATACTAGTTGATCAAACATCTTAGTTCAGAATTTGCAAAAGAGGCTGTAAATCCATAACAGACTAATGGGAATCTAGGAGAAAATGCAATCTAAAAAGGTTGGGTTTCACTAATAGTACAGACAAATATCTTAAAAGTTAGCAAAAACTTACCCTAAAGCAATGGCCTGTGTCATTATTGGTGTGTTAGCATACTATACAGCAGTAGTTCTCAACCTTCCTAATACTGTGACTCTTTTAATATAGTTTCTCATGTTGTGGTGACCACAAACCATAAAATTATTTCATTGCTACTTCATAACTGTAATTTTGCTATTGTTATGAATTGTAATGTAAATATCTGACATGTAGGATTCCTGACATATGACCCAGGTTGAGAACCACTGCTACACAGCATATTATCTAGTAGAAGCTTAATATCCTATTACAGAGACAATTGTCACACCCATGTTCATTGCTACTTGATTATTAATAACTAGGAAATGGAATCAACCTAAGTGTCTATTAACAGGTAAATGGGTAAGAAAATGTGGCATATGCACATGATGGAATATGACTCATTTCCTAGGTGAGGTCACTCAGGCCCAGAAAGATGAACACAGTGTGTTCCCTCATGTGTGAATTCTAGCTTCCAATCCTTTGTCTTGTGTGTTTAACTCAGTGCACACATGGATGCCAGCTAAATAGAAAGGAGCCTTTTTTTTACTGGGAGACACAGTAATCAAGAGGAAAGTAGTAGATTTTAGGTAAAATGCAAGCATTGAGGTGTAACACTGGGGAAGGAAAGGCTTAAGCAAGGAGGACTATGAGAATATAGGGCATTCAGGTTCATAAAAGGGAGAGCTAACCCAATAAAAGGGGATATGAAAATCAGTCTAAGAGCCTACTATCTCACACTCCAACTTCAAAAAAGAAATAACTATAAGGGTAGCAGAACACATGTGAAAAGAAAAAAGAGAGAAGAATGCTGAGTTAAAAGATTATACAGGGATAAGGTGGAAGATTAGAGGAGGCAGAAGAGTAGTGGGTGAGTTATCCAAAGCAAAGTTTGTATGAGAATGCCTTATGGAACCCTACTAGTGAGTAAGCTAATTTAAAAATAAACTATACTTAAAAGAGTTGGAAGAGAATTACTCTGTGTGAGTGGTCAGTAACTCCCAGAAGACATGATTTCCTAAATAAAAACCTCAGTGCCAGGGCATAGATTTTTTCCTATGAATTATTGATCCCAGAAATCTCCAACACAATATAGGTGACTGCCACTATCTTTGGTTACCCACCATAACTACATGGTAAGACATTTTTTTGCTAAAGACACCACACACTCTGGCTATAGAACATAGAGAACCAATCTCAAGCTGACCAGAAAACTTCCTTTTTGCTGATTAGCTTTTATACAGTTAGAAGATGCTACGCAGTCTGATGGGAGAGAAAAGACATCAATTGTTTGACCTTGTATTGGACCCTGCATGCTATAATACCAACCCACCAAGCAAGAAATGCCTACAGGTGTGATAGTGACCTTCTCTTCGGGAAGTAATTTCATACCTACTCTTATAATCACAGTCACAGGAAAGTCATAGGTCCTGGGGTAGAACCTGATATTGTTATTATGATAGGTGGTAATGCTACTAAATTTCTTTTTAAATGCTTATGTTCATGACCAAAGACTTGGAATGCTCTCAACCCTAGTCAGAGAAGTTTCTTTTTGCAGTGGGCAGCAGTAAACAGAGACATGAATAAATGGCCAAAGTACTAAAAATAAAAGACTCAGTCCTCGGCCCAAATGGGAAATCTATATTAATTCTCCTACCATGGATGCTCAGGGAATGCCATAGAAGAGGAGACAGAAAACATAAGAACCACAGGATGGAGAGAAAGGCTATGAAATTCTGTATTGGACATGAGAAGGTCAAGGCAATCATGATCTCAAGGTAGCCATGGTACTTGCACAAGAACAACATAAGATCAAACTGGCCAAAATCCCAGCATGGATGGTATAGATCCATTCCAGGTCCCACCCTTACAGAGGAGCTATTGGTTGGACAGTTGATAGAAGATGGAGGAGAAACATTCCTTATTGAGGGTGTGGCCATTGGTAGGTTTCCCATACTCCAATGGATAGGCAGTTCTAACTTTACTTATATGAGTTATCCAAAGGGGGGAAAAAGTGTGAAATTTTCAAAAATTAAAAAAAAAAATTAATAAGAAAGAAACCAGTTCTGGGCTGAAAATGGCAATTCTACCAATAAATAGCAATTCTACCAATAATCTAAAAATAAGGACATGAGTGGCTAGAGAGATTTCTCAGTGATTAAGAGCACTGGCTGCTTTTCCAGAGGATCTAGGTTCAATTCCCAGTATCCACAGGGCAAGAAACAACTGTCTGTAGTTCCAGTTCCAGGGTATCTGTCGCCCTCTTCTGGCCTCAACAGGCACACTGTACATGTATAGTGAACAGACATGCATGCAGGCAAAATACCCATACACAAAACTAAATAAATTTCAAAAAAATTAAAAATAATGACAATTAAGGTTTGAAATGTCCCATTTTAGAATGTAGAAGGAAACTTTCAATAGAATATACAATTAAGCAAATTAACACATTCAGTTAGCGGTAAATATAGGCAGTTTTATGTTGTTATGCTTACCTCAGCAAAGCAGCACTTTTTATTCCCAACAAAACAAAATTCAAAATGACTATGTGAGGGGTAAGGTGTAGGCACACCTGTTGCCAGCCCCTAAGTAGGCGTGGCTACAGCTTCCCCTATGGAAATTACCAATACGGAGTCAGGTAGAAATATAAGGGTTTTTAATAGGGAAAAGCCTTACTTACAGAACACCCTAGCCAGCTGGTGTGGCTGCAGTCTGTACCTCAAGTACAACAGTGAAACCGAAAGAGAAAACACAGCCCCCTGAAAGTCTCAGTCAATGTCACCCTGACCACGCCTCGCAAGCGTGGTCAGGCACACCTGTAGCCAGCCCCTAAGTAGGCGTGGCTACAGCTTCCCCTACAGTAAGGTATTTATCTCAGCAATAAACAGCAAAGAACATGAACTAAAATCCAAACTTTTATCCAGAAATCTAAGGGGAAGGCTCTAGGCAATTTTTCTTCAGAAGAATTGTCTAATATATTTCTATTATCATATGTGTGCACACATACACTCATGACACGTATGTGTGGTGGAGGCGTACATGCTACAGTGATCATGTAGAGGACAGAGGACAATTTTGCAGAGTCAGTTCATATCTCCCACCTTTATGTGGGCTCTGGGGATTGAACTCATGGCGCCAAGCTTGAGCCTTTACTTCCTAAACTATTTCACCAGCCAGCTCTAAGCAAATTTAAGAAAGATTTCTACACACAAAATAAATCTTCCTCTAAATGGAAAAATACTCATTAAAAAGGATTTCTGATGAATTATTTTTCTCTCTACCAAGCCAAAGAGAACAGAGAGAGCATATCCAAAACTCACATGAATAATGGAAGCAATCAATGGGGTTAGGGCCACAGAATCAGCATATATATCCTTTTGCTTTAGCATTGCATTGTCCCTGCCTAGAATAAGTGAACCTCAACAAAATGCTTTGGGATTTTTGGCTATGCCCTTTACTCTATTCTTTTTAGATATATACTAAAGAAATGTAATTTGCTAAATTATGCACTAGTAAAGCTACATGGGATTGTCCAAAGTGGTCACCTAGCCCAATCTTGCGTAGGTGTCATGCTTCAACAACCAATACACTATTCGCAAGTCACATATTTCTATTTAAGTTTAATATAATTTAAATAAATTATAAAACCAAGTTCCTTAGACCCAAAAGCCACATTTCAACCAGTCATAGACATGCCTCCATCATCATGTACTGCTTGGTGGGAAAGCATTAAGGTCCTTAATACCAATGATGCCAGTTTGAGTCCTGGCTCATCATCTGCCAGCAATGTGAGCTTGGGAAAATCATTTCTTCTTTCTTGGTTTGTCTCTGAAAAATGGAGTGATAACAGAGACTTCTGGGGTAAAACCATTGTTTGAAAATTAAATAAAAAGTTATGCCATTAATTTATAAGCCAACAGTAAATAGGTGACAGTTTTTATTATTTACAGATAAGAAACTCTTCATGGGCAGTTATGGAGCCCCTGGAATACTATATTATTTTTCATTTCATTATCATCAAATCTAGGATTTAAATATGAAAGTTTGAAGAAAAACCCCTATTTTTATTGTAATGAATTCACTTGAAATTATTAATTTGGAAATTAACACAAAACAGCTTTTATATTTCAAATGAAATTGTGACTTCTTTAAAGTAAGAAACTGCTCATCGTTCCCATATAGTCCTTTTAAAACAAAGGGACATTGCTAAGTCATTTAGGCCTGACCCCATTAGACCATGAAGTAAATCAATACAAGTATTGCTTAAGTCAATTCAAAGAAATTATTTCAGTGTTTCAGATCTCTCGCTGTGGGAAACCCTGAATTAGGTGATGGGTTACTTTAATTAAATATACATTAATTTACTCATCACATCCAAATAGCAGGGCAGCATCATCCATAAAGGTCTTATAGACAGCCATGGTGCCATCTCTGGCAAAAGCAGCTACTCGGTCAAAGGTTAGAGCCAAAACAGGGCTTAGTGGAGATCTGAAAAAAAAAAATGAAAAAGAAAAACTATTTAAGTTACCTGCAAAATACACACTGAAATTGGAGCACAAATAATAAGGTATTTGATACCTATATCTACAAAAAAACCCTACTATTCTTGAACTCCTATAGTGACATTTGAATGTACATTTGAGTTTATTTAGCTGGTTCATAATGTGCCAGGTATGGTTGCAATATGTACAATTAAAAATGAATTATACCAGTGAAAGACTGTAGTTGAGCAAAACAAGTGTTCACCTAACGCATTTTCTCTATGGAATTCAGTGTACCCATAGTGCATCTGGAACTGGGAATGAAATAAATGCATCATACTGAGTATAAACAACTATTTTATAAGCTCACTAAGTGTTAAGTGATCTGATTTCCATAACTATTATAAGGCACAAGGTTGTAGGTGAATTTGAGAATTAAAATAATATTGAAAACATCTTAAATAAAAAGCATGGTCTTTTATAAGCTAGTTTATTCTAGATAGATTAGAAATATTTAGGCTTTAACCCACTATTATTACCAGTAGTATCTAACATGTATATAATCATGATAAGACAGACACGTTCAGCACATGGGACATACAGCAAGAACAGTGCTAAAATTCTTGAAAAACATGAAGAGCTTGAAAAGCATGAAGAGAAGCAGAATGAAGGTGGAGATGTTTTAAATTAAAGGGGGATACTGAAATGGATCAAACACAGCAGAGGAAGTCTACCTAGCCACTGAGTACACCTGTGGGTAACTGACTGCAGAGGGGGTGTCAGAGAATAATGTGTTATTATGGACTGTTAGGCACACATTTCGGTTACACAGAAGGTTCTATTCTTCAAGCACTTAAAGAGTAAAATTTTAATAATTGTCTGCAATTACTTTCAGGAGAGATAAACAAATAGGAAAGCTCATTAAATAGATGAATCAAAATGAAGACTATGAAAATATTTGTTATGATATTTTTCCAACTTGTCATCAATTTGAAATTCTTCAAAATATGCAAAATTTGGAGGAAATTTTAAACATTCATTTTTATAGAAGAGCATGACCGCCTATGTCAAAATAAGTTATACACAGCAGAATACTTTCTGAAAACAAACACCATTCACTTAGTAAATATCATGCGTTTTCTCAGTGTATTTTAAATATGTACCAATACAATTTTAGAAATACACATTTTAAAAATTCCAGTGGTAGCAAGATTCTGGCATAGTTACCTTGTGCTCTGTATCGCATTTTATTTTATTTATTTTCAAAACTAGAAAGCAAATTATATCATCCTATTAAAATAACAATGAGTCACAAACAAACTTAGGAACTTACACAGTTCTCCAGTTACAACCATCAGCTGATTCTAGAATGTTATAGATTACTGGCATGTTATAGATGCGTTTCACAAATATGACTAGCCAAGAATACACTTGCAATCTTTTTAAAACACGGAATTACAGAAAATATGATAAAGTCATTGCTTTCACTTCAACTACGACATTAAGAGAAAATAACAGTGCACACTTGATTAAAACTGTTCTCTGCTATGGAAAGGGCTTACTAAATTACAAAATTCTTACTACTGTAAAAATCCATCTCTGTTTTCATCATTGTGTAAACAATTTCACTCCCAGTGCAACTTAGATTAACTTGAATTTTGCCTATAGTGAAAATGTTATCATTCCTTATGTACATTCTAATTCTATAAATTATACAGCATGTGTTTTAACTTTATTCTATTGGGACAAACAAAACAAAATTTTGCGGCATAACACCCCTCCACCCCTGACACCTTTGTGGATGTTTAAGGAGACTGTTGTTTGAGGTTTGAAATTTTGAGCAAACACCAAATCTAATCAGTTCCTCATTTGCTGAGATTTAGATCTGTCTCTACTGTTTTCATTATCGTTAACATAAGCTCAATTCAACCTTACATGCAACACCATTTCGTTCTTCCTCTAAACAATGAGCCAAGAAAATTAAAAATGCACCCCCCCAAAAAAAAGTGTGTTTAAGTTTCTTGACAAGCAGCTTCAGAGCTCATCTGGATGTGTCCTGTCAAAATACGCATACATTTCTGAGAAATTCAACACCAGAGCCCAGCTTGTCAGTGCCTAGATACGGCGGCCTCTTTCTTTCTCCAGAAAGACAGATAATTTTATGCAGGAATTTACCAATCCACAAAAATTTACACAATGCTCAGCAAATAGCCAGTAATTATTGCCAGCTAATGCAAGGCGCTGTGAGGAACATAACTTTGATAGGAGAGGGTTCGTAAGCTTTACCAATTTATCTTTATCTGTCCTGTCATTGGTGCTTAGGGGTTAAGACTTTATTTGTGCAAACATAGAGATATAGTGGGGAATCATGTTGTCTGCAGCTTCATAAATCTTGCTTAAGATCCTTTTCAATTACCATCCATTTCTCCTTTAAAAAGGGACAAAAAAAAATAGAGGAGAGGAAGCAGGTCAGGGCAGTGTGTGACAATGACAGTGTGATGGGCTTGGGCCCCCCGTGGCGTTTCCATCTGCTATCATTAAGGTGACTACTCAGACATGAACAAATCCCTCTTGCTGTGCTGACAGGCAGACCTCAAGAACTATGACAAGGCATTAAGACAGAAAGTCAGAGAGAGAGAGAGAGAGAGAGAGAGAGAGGAGTTGGTCATATTGCCTCCATAAACAATACTACCTTATAAAAAATGTTCCTTAAATTTTATTGGAATTAAAAAATGACCTTTTTTCTTCTTCTTCTTAATTCCTAAAGGGTCTTACATGGCTTCTCAATTCTCCTGCTAAATTAGCTCACCGCAGAGAGTTTGAAGACACACCAAATAAGCACATTGCTCATACCTGTATGCTTTCCCATATGAAAGCCCAATTTTTTGCCCATTCTTCAGCTGCAGTGGACTCTTAATCTCTTGACCATGCTCATCGAAAATCCGGGCTGAAGACAAGCGGAGGCCTTGTGACTTGATGGAGGAACCTTGAAGCTGTTGATGGATTCTGAGAAGTAACTGGTGGAGGGCAGGTGAAGGGGATGCAGAAGAAGACATAAGCTATGCGAACATCTGTAACAAACTGTCTCTGCTCTGGTCCAAACAAACGATAATTAAATTCATATAGAATGTTAAAAGAAGTGTGAAATGACGGCAATGTTTAGTTCAGTGTAAAGTAACAAAATGAGCATGGGCTTTTAACCAGCAGGGGGTGCCACAGGCTTGTGATTGAGCCCTGACCCTTTGGCACAGTGCCTGAAAGCAGATGTGACAGTCTCACAGAAAGAGCATTTAGCTTCCACACCCGGTAACAATCCTCTTTGATGAGAGCTATGCTTGTCTTGTCTGCACTGCGTGGTTTGTTAGGCCCTTCCAGACCAGATTTAAGCTTTGCTGTTACAACAGGCTATGTCCCTATCCCCGACAAGCTTCAGGGAACTGGAGCTTGAATCCCCCACTTCTAGGACCGCAAAAATCGACATGCCTCTCAGGCTCTTCTGGCTCTTTCAGAACTCTTCTTTGAGGGTTTTAATTGCAAGCCTTGAAAACCTTGGGGATGATTTCAGGAACTAGTGTCTGCAAGTCATGGGTAAGACACAACTGGAGTGAGAATATGAAGTGACGTCACCCCACGTTTTAAATAATAGCACTGTCAGTGCTATGCTTCTGAAACTAAGCTATGGAGAGGGCTCATATTTAAAACACATTTCAAATGTAAGTAAATCCAGTGGAACTGTGGCACATGATGTACTTTAAGAAGGCATCTTTCATTATCATCTGTCACCTTTGTTTCAGCTTCCCTGCCCCGGCTCTTCCCAGCTTGGCACCTCACCCTATCCATCACTCTGGCCCCTCCCCCCAGCCTTCTGTCATAGACCTCCCTTTCTTCTCCTCCTTGTCAGTTCATGCACTTCTCAATTTCTTATCACTCTGTGGTCCCTGCAGGGAGGTAGGCTCTTGGTTTTCTCTCTCTTTCCTTCTAGTAATTTCTACTGAAGGAATATTGCTGAGGTGCAGAAGAAAAGGAGTTTGACTCCCCATGAACACTTTGGGTGTCTCACTTCACTGGCCATAAATTCTTGACTAAGTGCAATGCTTTTTGGTCAACAGCCACACTTACAGAATGCCTCAGAACTAAGCACCGGCTGACTGAAGGAAAATGACAATGACTCTGATGTCAGTCAGCCCTGTATTAGCCAAACTTTTAGGAGAGCATCAAATGATGAAATAATTCTTTTTGTTTCACTAAAATAAATACTTCTTACCCAACAGAGACAAATTCTATGTATTACAATAACAACATCTGATCTCTTTGGTTGTTTAAGAGGTAAAGGGCTTAGTGAAAACCTGTATTGTTTTGTTTTTCTCAAAGGAAGTACAAACATATTTTGGAATCTATGTATTTTATTTCTAAAGCCTTACATTTAGTTACCTCTGCTCTCAACCCTGGAGCTTAGTTTTGCTGCTTTGCTATGATTTCAGAAAGCATGTAATACCAGTCTTTTGTTTTGTTTTTAATCACGATGATTTTGCTTTAGAGATACCACTTTTTTGTAAAGGAGAAAGACATAAAAGATTTAAGGCCTGATCCTGGGGCAGGGCTGTGTACAGAGGCCAGTGGTGTGAGGAGGAGACAGACTCTGAGCTCCCAAACATGTGACCACATTCACTTTCACAGGAGTTGCATTGCAATCTCCATTTCCCCAACTTGGTGACAGACTGCACTTTATGTGTTCAGGAATGAGCATTCGACAGCCTACGGGAGGCAAGGGCCTCTGTACCTTTCATCTGTAGGTCATTGGCTAGGGCTGGGCTGTGGAAACAAAAAATTGTGATAATCTTTATCCATTTATCTTTAAAGCTATCATCACTGGGCCTTTACAGGATAAGAATTTGCTCCCAGATCCGAGAAGAGTATAAAACAACCTCTTAGACTGGTGATTGAGACAAGTGTCTGCACAAGGGAATGGGCTGCTTAGGGTGCTCTCTATGGAGTCTTATGATAACCCTAATTGACATTCTGCAAACCCCAACCCCATTTACTTCAAAATTAAAGCAAAGCATAATTTCAGTCAGTCATTAGTCAATACATGAAGCTTCCATGAAATAACAGCTTCCTGTATTTCCTTCAACATTTCCTTCAACATTTCCTTCAACATTTCCTTCAACATTTACTAAAGTAAATAAAATACTCTAATACAAAAATGTTGTGAGACAGATAGAAAATTCTAGAAAGACTTTGATACCAAGCTGATTTCTATAGCCATGGACATGATAATAAAAGGAAACCAGCTAAGGCTTTGGATCTTTCTCTAATAAATTAGAATAACATTTTCCTGTCTCCTCTGGGGTCAACCAATGATCCAATGAATGCCACCCAACTACGATGCAGCTTTTATAATTGGCTGTACAGGCCAGGTAAGGAATGCTTTCAGGGAGAGGTAAGTCTGATGGTGTTTTACTAAACAGGAAAAGAGACCGAGCTTCTGAACAAAGAGGAGGCAACAGAGCCCAAGACACTGGTGTGCACTCGGGCGCATAACCCCAATTTGTAAACAACGGGGTGTTCCGTGTCCTTTTATGCAAGACAAAAGCTCAAAATAAAGACCCTGAACATGTTGGTTCTGCCTGAAAAACATCCCAATTGTCTGGAAAATAGGCAAAGGTAAGAGTGCCCAAGATAAATTCGTGGGATTTGCTCACAATGAGCATGGTGGAAGACCAAGGCTGTGTGTTAGTCACTCAGGCACATGGCTTAGAAATACTATGCCTGGAGTATACCCTCCACCAAATGTTATGGCATTCCTTTTTAATGTATAAAAACTAGCTAACTAAATAAAAGGAGAACAATTTTGATGTATCAAAAACAGTGCCTAGTATAAAAATACTTTCAAACATACTGATGGTTGAGATGTGATTAGGTTAAGGTTCAAGAGTTGACACTCAACTGTACCTCACCTTGTAGAACAAATGACTGATGTTTTATAAACTGCCTTAAGATGTAATTGTTTACATTAACTCTAAGTTACATGAGGAATGCTTACGTTCATACATGCAATAACTCACTCTTTGCATTGTTTCGTCACCTTGGGCTGGGCTATCACACTTTAAGTCTTTTCTACTGATGTAAACAGAGATCTCTCCAGTGTCTTTACCATTTTCAAATACCTGTAAAATGAACACATAGAAAAATAGAAATAAACACATGTGGACAGATGTGCAGGATCATGTGTAAAACAAGAGACCAACTATCTGCAAGCAAATGGATGGAAAGCCAAGAGTTCTAAGAAGGGAAGGCCTTGCTCTTCCATTTGGTCTCAGCATTTCACCTGACTCCCATTCCCTATCATCTTAAAATAGAAGAAAGCTTGGAGCCTGGAGCAAGATCACTGGTCACAGCAGATGCTGAAACAGAGCAAACATCAGCAAACAGTCAGCTAGCAACCAATTAACTAGCTCATCTCCTGCTGCTTGGCAAAACACGAAGCCACAAATCACGCATGGAGAATGTTCAGTTCTTATTTAAAAGATATCAGTGTCCTCTTTGTCTTCTGACTCATTCAACAAAATTCAACCTGACAGGTTTATTACATAACAGGATGGGGAAGGTCAGCCATTTTAACTGCAGAAACTCAACAAGTTGTTGAAAACAGAGATAAAATATTGCATTATGCAACAGTCGCTGGGAAAAAAAGGAAAAAACGAGAGCGGCAAATGTTCTGGTCAAAAGGATCCGAATAAACCAGTCCTGACAGGCCGGCCCCACTAAAGTGAACACTCCCCCTGCCCACACTGAGGATCCACGCAGGGTGCTCCATTCACTAGGCAAGAAAAGACTCAGGCCAGAGGGAGGCCTGATGAATAATTTAAATCTTTGCTTTTTAGTGTTTTTTTTTTCCCCTCTAAAGTTCTTTTCTTCTGTTTCTGATATGCCCATCACATTTTATTGTGGATTGTTTTATATATTTTTGTGCTATTTCCAGAGAAGATAATTCGGGAAAATAACTTCTTGAAAAACAAAGAAAACTGTCTTTTGTTCTTTTGAGACAGTTCAAACTTTATTTGGTAAGCCCAGTTTGGGAAATAATGTGTTTCACTAGCTCTTCTGCAGCCTATGGGGATGGGGGTGGGAGAGGGAATTTAATCATGTAAGAACCTTAGGGATGGCCCCACTTAGTGCTCCTTCAGAGCCATGGTGGCCCTGTGGACAGCCTGTGGCTTCTGCTTGGCAGCTCTGGATTTTTACTCCTGGAAGAGGAAGAGTCTTTTCCTGATGGGGATAAAAGGAAGAAAGGAAGCAAGGAAGGAAGGAGTGGGGGAGCCACTTTTCTGGGTAACAATACAATTCTCAGTCAGCAGTTTCTCTAAAGCTGCAAATCTGAGGAAAGAGTGGGAAGAGCATCTTGCTGTTTCAAAAATTTCTTCAGGGCCCTAATCTGAAATGGAACTCTTAAGCAACAGGAGTTGATAAGGAAGGTGGCCACTCTAGATTGTGTTGACAGGTCTAAGGCTGAAGAACTTACTGATGCTCCTTTGTCTAGACTTGCTAGACTGTGGGCGCACTGTCGGAAACTACATTCTAGGAAACAACAGCAGCCAAAGCAATAACTGCCTGAGAACGAACGAACGCAGTTGAGCAGAGCTCTGTCTCCACACCTAGCACTGTCATTAGCCGGCTGCTTTGTTCAATGTAGATAATGAGACTTATGGTGTTCTGTCCGGGAACAAGGACTCAACAGACAAAAACCAAAACCAGAAAGAAAAAAAAAAAAACAAAACAAAACAAATAAACAAACAGCAACGAACAAACAAACAAAAAACAGTGCACTCAAAACAGAAACACTGCCTCTAACTCCCTGAAACTCTCCAGGGGCCTAAGAAAAACAGGTGCTTTTCACAGTTAAGCAATCATTCCCCCAGCAGCAATCTTTAAGAAGCTACTTTCCAAAAGGCATTCCTTTGGTTTTGAAGCTCATGGAACAATGCCTACTCTCACTGCCCTACTTGAGATGCTCGTTGCCCTCCTTTGTGTGACAACTATTTCTACTTCTAATGTGCAGTGTTGAGAAACAGACAGCTCTCTAGATTGAATGTTTCTACCACAGAAGAGATGTAAGCAAATGAAAGCTTGCTTTCCTATTGCTTCATTGTTTTAGGAAAAAGTAGCTACAGCCACAGCTTCCTAAAGGAGCTTGGCATAGCTTCACTTCCTATAGCTTTAAAATGAAATTTTCACCCATGGAGCAGAGCAATGCCAAAAGCAGCCATGGCTAGCTTTGACACTCTAGGTAACAGAACCTAGAAAATAATAATCTGGAGCCTCTTACAAACAAGGCTCAAGATAATGGAAGAATACCTACAAATAGGAATTTATATCTATGTCCCTAGTCACATGAAGCATGGACATTCCAAAAGTGTTCTGTGTTGCATAGTATTTTCATTCTCCTTCATGCTGATACTTTTTCTTGAGCAGGTTAAATTAGGTTGCCAGTAATGGTTCACTTATGTTGCAGATATATGCATTCATTCAAAAAATGAGTCCTACATGCCAAGTACTGGTAAGGAAGTTAAAATATACTAACAAAGTATAAGATTTCTGTTTATGAGATTATTGTTGTCTGCCATATAAGATGGAGGAACAGACAACAAGCCATACACACATTAAGGAAGAATTCTATTGGCATTTGAAGGTACAGCTAGAGTAGAGAGGCCTGACATTTATGTGATTTGCTGGTCCTTCTTCAGCAAGAAGAATATAAAATCAAAAATGAATCACAGTGTTAAATATTCATTTAGAAGAATAAGGCATCACACTTTGCATACATTTAAAGCTCACACAGAAAAACTACAAATACAGTGGCAAATATTCTCCATGATTAACTATCTAAAGCCCAGTCTCCAACCACAACTTTGCACAGTTGTTCTCTAATCAGTTTTTATGAAAAGGAACACAGAGAACTTGGCCCAGCCACAATCCCCCTAACCAAAATCAGGAAAAAAAAAAGATGATCTTTTTCTTTCTGTCATATGACTACTTAATATACTTATTACTAATTAGAAAGGTTTCTCCTGGGGTCATAACTGGTCAGTTTGTAAAGGCTCTAAGGGTTGAGTTTGAAATTTGACAAAAACCTTCCATCGGGTTTCTTTAAACTATAAACTATAAAATGTGGAATATTTTTCTACCAGTTAGCTGGCTCTATTAATTTCACAGCATGCTTGTCTTCTGTTAACCATGTTGGATTGCCTGTCACTCTGTTATACAGAAAGTAGAACTCTTTCTGACCATCAGGCAGTAGCTACCTTTGCACATCAAGTCAGCTAGGCCAACAACTGGACTATACAGAGAAGTGACCATTTTGTCCAAACTCAACATGCCTCCATGCTGTTTGGATCTTGATTCCCAGCGAAGGCTCTTGTGTTAAAGGTTGCGTTCCCAGGATGCAGGATACAATTGGGAGGTCTGGAAGCCTTTAGGAGCAGGGCTGGCTGGTATTAGCTAGGTTGCTATTACTTCACCCTTGAACGCACAGTGGGACTCCAGATGCTAGAGGAATTTCTGCTCCACATTCTACAGGCATGCTGTGTTATGCTGCCTCGCCACAGAGTCAAAACCTTGGAGTTAATCAACCAGGATTGGAACTCCCAAAACTGTGAGGCAGAATAGCCATTTTTTATTTTGGTTGATTATCTCTGGCATTTGGTTATAGTGCTAGAAATAGGGCTAACATATCCCACAGACTTTTCTCTGCGCCATACTTCAGAAATGCCATAGCAATTCTCAAACAATTTGATGCAAGGGAGAGCATGAAAAAGAAGAAAAAAAAAACAGATTGAAAAAGGTAATGGGTTTAACTAGTTGTAGTTAAAATACATTGTGTTTGCAAATTTTAGAGGCATGCATGCTCATGTGACCACCTGTACAGTCAAGATTGGCCTCCTCTTGGTGTGTTTAAAGGGACTTCAGCATTAACTTCATGCACATGCTGTTCTGAGTGAGGGAGAAGGTAGTAAGTTCCTTGTGAGAAAGCAACAATGCAATAGGCCAGGTGCCATAAGCCTGGGGCCATAGAATGTCCTGGGCATAACAGTAAGTAGACATTCAGGATAGACCCTACTGGAACAGTGATTTGGAAGTAGGGTGGTATGAGACGAGCAGATAGGCTTGGAGAAAAGCACCACAGCAGAGGAAAGCACAGTGCAAAGAAACTCGGCAGAAACATGTGGCATGATCCTGGGGTGGCAAGGAAGCCAATGCAACTGCAGCAGAGTGAGAGAAGCAACCCTGCAAACAGAAATAAAGGCCAAGAAAGGCATGGGGAGTCTGTGGAATGCTCCAGTGAAGTAGGATATGGTTCAGGATGTTCCAATAGAGTAGTAACAGGCTATGGCTCAGGTGCCAGGGTGGATGTGTGGAGATCAAAACCAACTTCCTGGAGTCAGGTCTCTCCCTCTTGTTCTTCATGATGCTGCTCTGAGTCCCCAGGCTGGCTGGCTGGCTGGCTGGCTGACTAGCAAGCTTCTGAAACATTCTCCTGATCCATCTCGACACGAGTGATGGGATAACAGATAATACACAACCTACCTTCCTTTTCTAATTTTTTTTTTTTAAATTTTAGCCTGGACCTCAGGGACAGAAGTAAGGTTACACATCAGGCTTCTGCCATTAACGCCTTTACCAGCTGAGATATCTTTCCACCTAGCTGACAGTTTTAAGGGGATCACTATGATCACTGCTTTGGGAATAAACTGTAGAGGCAAGGATAATTGGAAAAGTACACAACAGTGGCTGAAAGCATAACATTAATCATGGACATGTTTAGGAAATGAACTGTTTTTATTGGTTGCTCCAGAGTAGGGTTATTTGCTGATGCTTATTAGGGGGCTGAGAAATAAACCCTAATGGCTCAGCTAATATTGCTGAAATACTACTTCCTCATCTTTGGATATAAAGTAATCGCCATAAATATACCTTCCTATGCAGTAATTGTAAAGACATGCATATAACAATAAACACCAAAATAATTCTATTTATTAAAAATACATCATTACACAGTGACCAAAATTTAAACTATATACAGTGAGCTAACTTGGATAGGGATTTGTGAGCTGGTACTAATCTTTGGTAAGTTTGCCTAGCATCATTTACAACATCTCTGTAAGGGCTG